ATCCTATCCTATCCTATCCTATCCTATCCTATCCTATCCTATCCTATTCTATTCTATTCTAATTCAATTCAATTCTTAGCTCTTGAGAAATGTATCTTTTCTTTTATGTATGCTGAGAGCATTTGCACCAAGACAAATTCCTTATGTAAACAACCACACTTGGTCCATAAAGAATTCTATTCTATTCTATTCTATTCTATTCTATTCTATTCTATTCTATTCTATCTATTCTATTCTATTCTATTCTATTCTATTCTATCCTATCCTATCCTATCCTATCCTATCCTAATTCAATTCAATTCAACTCTTGGCGAATGTATCTTTTCTTTTATGTACACTGAGTATATCGGGGTTGGCAAACTTTTTGGCTCGGGGGCCTCATTGACTTTTAAAATTTGACAGACGGGCCGCCACCTGGTGTCAAAATGCCTGTCATTACAAGTCAAAATAAAATAACATCCTCCGGAAGGAGGTTCTATTGTGTTGTGGGTTTTCTCAAACAACAGCTACATCCTTAGGGGAAACTTGGGTTCTGAATTTAAGAATGTTATGTGTGCATCTGTGTACAGAGACGGTATCCCAATATTTGAGGGGCTGCCCCAAAGAAGAGGAGGCCAATTTATTCTCCAAAGGACCGGCAGGACAGGAAGCGACAGACAGAAACTAATCGAGGAAGAGAAGCAACCTAGAACTAAGGAGGAATTTCCTGAGTGTTAGAACAATTAATCAGTGGAACAGCTGGCCTCCAGATGTTGCGAATCTCCAAAACTGGAGGTTTTTAAGAAAAGTTTGGACAGCCATTGTTGGAAATGACTCCAGATAACAAGAAGTTGGGTCGGTTTTGCATTTGGAAGAGATTTTTTTCAGGTGGGGAGGGGGAGTAGAACTCCTTAGCATCGGAGCATGTTAATAATAATAATATAGGAAATTATCTAAATGCTCTGATGGTCATTTTGAAAAACCCTTTCTTAGTGAGCCCCTAGAAGCCAAGAGTAACATAGGTGCCAAATTCCAAGTTTGTAGCCTTTACGGTTCTGGAGATTTTGTGATGATGCGTGAGGGGCATATTTCGCTTTTATATTTATAGATGGGATGCTTGAACAGGGGTTGGACTAGAAGATCCTTTCCAACTCTGTCATTCTGTTCTTTTGATTCTATAGGAGATTGCATCACAACTTTATGTATTTTTTAGACTTCCTGCCTTGCTGCATGATGGCTTGCAGACTTGGGTTCTGCTTTCATGGTCCGTTGGGGTTTTGCATCTGTGTGCAGGTTAATTAGAGAAACTGGCAGGGTGAATGTGTCGGAAAGATGGCTGGTTTCTCTATACTGCAACCTGGTCTTCCTTTCCTTGTAGGTGGACCTGGAGCCTGGGGACTTGATTGAGATCTTCCGGACGGGATACCAACACTGGGCAGTCTACGTGGGTTTGGGCAACGTTATCCACCTGGCTCTGCCAAGTAAGGAACGTGGGGTTGGGTTTGACCTTCAAAAAAACCCATCTGAATGTTTGTATCTGAGCTGCAATATTAATTTGGGGCAAGGATTTAGGATAGAGCAGTCCTTTGGATCTGGCCAAGCCGCTATGAAATTCTGAAGAGCAGAAATGAGCCATCTAGACCTTTATACTGCAGTATAATTTTCCCATGTTCTTCTTTTGTTGTGTCTTGGTCTGTGACCGCAAATAAAGTATTTCCTTCCTGTACCACACTTTCTCTTTCCTTCTGAAGCCGAATATGCAGAGGCTGGAGCTGCCAGTGTCAAGTCGCTCTGGCCCAACACAGCAATAGTGAAGAAGGAACAGCTGTCCAGCGTGGTAGGGAAAGATCGCTACCGTGTGAACAACAAGCATGACTCCAAATATCCTGCCCGGACTCCAGATCAGATCATCTCTTTTGCGGAGAAGCTGGAGGGCAAAACAATAAAATATAAAATCACTACCCAGAATTGTGAGCATTTTTGCAACAGCCTGCGCTACAATGTGGCTCGGAGCGATCAAGTGAGTGGCGTTTTCGGAGACTTAGACCATGTTTTTGCAGTCCGAGTCTTGAGTGGGGGGTGATCCAAACAGCCCTCATTTGCTGCAGTCTTGTGAGTGGGGAGAAGGCTCACCCCACTTGGCGCTCTAGGGTTGTGTTGGGATGAGAACTCCCAGAATTGCGTTGGGAGCTGGGGAGTTCTGGGCATTGCAGTCCAACTGGCCCCCACCCAAGCCCATGAGGGGGTTAACCGGGGTGGGATGCAAATATTTTTACTACTGGTTCTCTGGGCGTGGCTAGGTGGGAGTGGCTAGGTGGGTGTGGCTCGTGCTCCGTTTTTTTGCCTCCTGGGCGTCCGGGAAACCTCCTGGGCGAAGCAGTAAGACAGTGAGGGGGATCCCAGCCCAGCTGATCATTGGAACAGCTGATCGTTGGGAGGGAGGGAAAAAAAGGAAATACCAGTTCGGACAAACCAGTAGCTGTTTTTTTACTACTGGTTCGGCCGAACGTAGCATTTCTTACAACCGGTTCACCCAAACCATCCCGAACCGGTAGAACACTACCACGGGGATTAACTTCTTCTCCCAAACACCTGAGGTCAGGACAGCTAGTAACCGGTGGAAGATCATTAAAGAGAGATTTCATCCTGGAATTAAGGAGTTCATCCTGGAATTCCTGAGTGAGAGAACAGAGGGGGGGGGGTTGGACTAGATGGCCTACAAGGTCCCTTCCAACTCTGATTATCTGTTATCTTTTATCAGTGAAAGAACTTGCCTCCAGAGGTTATGGATGCTCCATCACTGGAGGTTTTCAAGAAGAGATTGGTCAACACTTTGTCTGGGATGGTATAATGTTCTCCTACTCCGGTGGTGGATTGTACTAGAACCGTGATGGCAAACCTATGGCATGCGTGCCACAGGAGGCAAGCAGAATCATTTGTGTGGGCACATGAGCCCCAGGCAAACTTACCTCACTGTTCATGTGCATACCTCCCAGCTGATTTTCGGCCCATTTAAGGCCTTTCTTGGCCTCACAGAGGTTCGAGGGAAGTCTCTGCAGCCTTTGTAAGCCGAAAACCAGGCCCGTTTTGTCACTTCCGGTATTTCCGGATATACTGGAAGTGACAAAACGGGCCTGGTTTTCAGCTGGAAAAGGCCTCAAACGGGCCAAAAATCAGCTGGGAGGTGCAGTGCAGGTAAGAGGC